TGGTATTTTGAAGGTACTGCAATTTATAAACGTCTTTGTTATTATCTTTTGGTTCTAAATCAATGAAAGTACCGGTAGGGGAATTTTTGTTACACGATGTTTGCAGTTGTGGATATTTCTTACAGTATGACCGTTTTCTTCTATTTCTGTTACGATCAATAGTGTCCCCTTCTTTTTTCCGATAATGTTCGAGCATGGTTCAGTGACATTTCTCAACAATTGTCAGAATTTCGCGCCAATTGCCAGAATTGTATCACTTATTGTTATGTTTCTAAGTATTGTTACAGCTGATACTATTTATCTCCAGAGATATAATGAAGCTCATTTCAGCCATAAATTCCATTTGTGCTCTTGTACAGAACCAGAGATAGTGTGAAATGGGTCAGGCCCATCGTCTCAACGCGAAAATTCTAATTGCGAGGAGTAGAAAAAATGAACGATTTAATCAGCTTGGATTAGATTAATTAGACTTGGCTCCTTCAAATGATGCAAAATTGGCATTTTCTATTGCTCTCTATTCAATATTTGCTATATTTTTAGGTAGAGTGAAGCTCTTGAGACGAGTCGAGTCGACATGACGAGTGTCATCTTTGCGCTGCCAATCACCTTCACCGTTCGTGAGAATCCGCATGAAGAAACGTGAAGAGGAGCTGGCGCGGGGGCTGGCGCGGGGGCCGGGCAGAGGAGCCTGTGGCGACAGAGGAGCGGCGGAGGGCCATGAGTGTAGCGCTCTAGCGGTGCGTGCATTGGGCTTTGCGTGGCGACGGTTCCGGGAGGGGGGGGGGGCACTCCCTCGGCGCCTCAGCCCCGCGCACAGGCCCACTAAGGCCGCCACTGTTCCCCCGGGCACTGCTGTTACTTGGAAAAGGTTGACCAGGCTCACAGTCATGCAATACAAATTATGTTGTACGCAGTAGCAACGCGGTTCGGTGGCTGCTGCTCTGCTGCTCTCGCCATCGCCTCCGGCAACCTTGCCCGACCTTAACCTTCTTTTGGGAATGCTGGGGGCCGTGTTCGCACGCCCCTCGCAGTTGCGATCGCTAAGTAGACGTTGCTCTCCGAATTCAAGACTTCTTCCGTTGCCATTCCTCGTGGAAACGTAGTTCTCGGTGGTCCAACGGCAAAAATAATACCAGTGGCGGCTTTTCTCCACACAACACTTCGCCTTGCCGTCCCTCGCGGACCACCGCTCCTCGCTCTTCTCCGTCGCGTGACGGGCCGGATCACAAGCAGACACTTGGCTCATAATATTTTGTGAGCGTTTACGATCGTGCGCTCGCTGGTTCCACTACCGTCTGCTGCCGTTTCGTGCCTCCCCACGACGCTCTGCAACGTTAGACTCCACCATCATCATTACCCAAAAACCTTCTCTCCATCCAGAACATAATGAGTAAAACAATTAGCATTTCAGGAAAATCGATTCCTACGCCTTTCTTATTTCATAAATTACGTTTAAACCCTTGATAGTCGAATTTTCACTTTTTAATCAATACAACGTGTTTAGAGTAAAGAAACCTGTCTCTTTATTCCTATTGTGTAATGTCGACGAGGGTATTAGTGCAAATAACATTAAATCCAAACACGTAATGTTGTAATAGATTCGTGAATTCAACAGCACATATGGTAATATTTTAAACTGGTGACTATGAAAGCTGCAATTTGTACCTGAAGATGGAGACACACTCAATCGCCGAACATTGTGTAAAATTAGAATAAATAAATCACAGTTTGTTTTATCAATTATTATTTAGTGCTACTGTCTCGGAAAATGAATACCCTTCAATTCGAAGGAAAAAGTGATTCAAAAAATAAAATTACGCGATGTTGAAACTACGTTCGGGCAGATGTTAACGAGTTCCCTCAGATGAAGATATGGTTGCCAGATGACCCGGTTTTCGACCGGACAATCCGGTTTCTTCTGTCTATCCGGTCAAGAGAATCTGGACCGGACAGACATGACAAGAGACAAACGATTATCCGGTTTTAAACAAATTTCGAGTAATAGCTGGCACCGCGAGATATTAACGCACAATTTTTAACTTGACGCCAGTCAACAACTAACAAGGCAAGTAGAATTGTAGATTGTAGTTGTAGGGTAGTATGAGAAAGATAGGTAGATGGGCGCTGAGAAACCCCCACTCCCCATGCCATTGTCGCAGGAAAACCAGTGCTCAGTCGGATCTCGGCAGTCAATAATTGCCTGTTTGTAAATCTTGAAAAAAGTGAAGTTTCAAACAAACAAATAAATAAATAAATATACAAAGAACAAGCAAACAAACAAATAAGCAGATAAACAAATAAATAATCATATAATACGGTAATTTCTTAAACAAACAAACAAATACACAAACAAACAAATAAACAAATCAACGAATCAAAAAATCAACAAATCAACGAATCAATAAATCAACAAATCAACAAATCAACAAAACAACAAATCAACAAATCAACAAATCAACGAATCAACGAATCAACGAATCAACGAATCAACGAATCAACGAATCAACGAATCAACGAATCAACGAATCAACGAATCAACGAATCAACAAATCAACAAATGAACAAATAAACAAACTAACACACAAACGAACCAACGAACCGAAGAACTCACAAACACAAACTCACAAAGTAACAAACTAATAAACGTACTAAAAAAACTTACTAACTAATAAACAAATGAAAAAGCAAACAAATGAAAGAATAAAAAGTTCTGTAATCGTGCACCGGGAAAAAGTAACTTTCGCAGAAAAAATATTATTTTCTTATTCTTCTGTAAACGAAAAAGTGAATGAATCATATACACATATGTAGTAAAATCCTTTCTCTAGCAGATGACGTAACCAGAATGCATCTTTCGTACGTAGTCGATACCGAAATGTTCATTGGGGGTAAAACGACCGCCTGCCCAACCTTTCGTCTGTCAAACGCAAGCACCTAAACTGTTTAACCGATTTTTTCCAAATTGATATCCTCCGATCAATCTGAATGAACTCGAGGGTTTAGGAGTTTCAGGGCCTGTTTAACCGGTGCCTGTTTTAGTGTCTGATAGTTTATCCAAAAGTTATCTTATTGCTATGCCCAAAATTTGTATTTTACGAGTGCCTGATGAATCTATCCACTGGTTTAAGTACGCGGTAAGTAATCTGGAGGTTCGACAGGCTGTTAAACGTTTATCTAGTAGTTAACTCCAAAATAACAGACTTTGTGTGTGAAGTTGCCTGTATCAAGGAAGATCGGTGGTATTTCGGGGATGGACAACGTAATAAGAGTGACAGATGACGAATTCATTGGTCGTATATAGCGTACACGACCTGCCGGCCAGAATATTTAGAGATTCTTGACGAACAATATTGCAAATCCCCTTTTAGGTTAAGGAAGCCTACGGTTTTGCAAAGTCATGCGTTTGATAGAACAGAAAATGGAAGAAACTGATTTGTGAATACCGACTTATATTTCTGCAAGTAAATGTCCTGCTAAATTCATTTTATTTAAAAATAATAAAATGTATACTTCATGTTTTGTTAACAATTTTGAGTATCGCCAATAAACCGACTTCTTCTCACTCTGAGTTATTTTGTAACAGGATCATTTCTGATCGTAATTAGAGACTTCAGTGTGATGAGCAATCTACTGCTTCAATTGTAGTAAGAGGAGTGTCTCATGCCATTGCAGGATTGAGTCCTTCAGTGTTCGTGAAGTTTCTTAGGAATATAAAACTCACCCAAGAAACTTTCATGACATTGCTAAATTTTTAGAGTTCTCGCAGCAGTATATTGATCACATGTTCCCATACAATTACCTGGTAATTTGTAACATATTTCATCCATATTTAAGAGAAGTGACATCTCAAAAATATAATTTGTGGTAAAATGTTTTTTTTCTCAGTGGAGCCTATTTTATAGCGTTCCACTCTACATACTGTCTTGTGAACTATCTTCATGTATGATACATTTATTTTAGAAGGAACAGTATCATAAAGATTTTTGAATTGATTTTATTCTATCATGAAATGAATATTCTTGTGTCAAGTTCTGTATCAAGTCAAGCATCTGAGATTTCTCTAAAATATTAATAGCGCGTTAGAATGATTTAATATCATGTTAGAAACATATAATGGATGAATTTAATGTTAAAGTGAAATCTGTTCACAAACATTTACGACAATATTATTATTCACTTGCATTCATATTTTTCTCCCATTTTTATCTGTTTAAACTTTCCTAAACTTTTGAGTTCTTGTACAGTTTGTTTTGGTTTTGTATAATTTGATTAAAATAGATCACTCTCGTTTCATGGATCTTCCCACACTTGTCTCTGTAGCATTTGCATTCAGAAGTTCTGGAATTCATTCTGTTGTGATGTGTAAATCAATTTACTCTGAATTTTTTTTCTTCGTAATTCGTTTTTAATCGTAAATTATGCACTGTAAAATTATGATCAGGGAATAAAGTATTTAGAAATTTATTTTCATAATATGTAATAGGCTGGTCATCAGAGAAAAGTCTCAATATTGAGTAATTTATGAGAAATAGGCATTAGAAATTAAAGAATTCATTTTCAATAATATCCCCAATAATCATGTCCAAAATTTTAATGGATTTACTTGCCTTACTCTACATTATGATACAAAATTGATCATTTTTAGTAAGCATCATTTGTATTATAATTTTGTTCTCAATAAAAAAAAGAACAGTTATAATCACATTTTCTTAATTTATCTTCAGAGCTTCAGACTTTTATTTAAGAAGTTTCCCTTCATAAAAAGCATCCCCACGGATATATTGAAAGCCTTTTCAATAGCTATCCATGCCACATCCTTATCCTGCTACATAGTTGCACCATTTACTTTACATTTAATAATATTTTCTCTCTCGGCAACGAGGGTTACAAGTCTCTTTCAATACATGTCAAATTAACTTCTCTTTCTCGCTTCTTTCCCCTTTCCATTTTGAAACTCCACACACAAAGAACTATGCAATAAAAAACTTTTACATCGAACTCACATACAACTCACACCGAAGTAAATTGAAAACAAAACAATAACGAATGAAGCGAAAAGTACCTCACACTTCCGTTAACAAAACACATTCAAATTCGCGCGCACAGAGCGCGTTTGACTCGAAAATGAGACGTTGCTGCTGGTGAAATAGCAATCAGCAAGACTATTTATCAGAACGATATCTGTGAGATATTTTAACAAGAAAAACTTGGGTGAAACGAAAATAAATATTAGACACTTTTATCTGACAGCTACGTTATCTGTGGGATTAGTATTCGGACCTTCATCAGGCACTTGTGAAAAAGGCCCTCACATGGATATGTTGATTTGTCTGGCTACTTTACATTAAACCTCAAATGCATTTTCAAAATTTTCTCAAAATTGTCACCCCATTTTTTTAAAATTAAAAACTATTTTTGGATAGCACAATGAATGCTTAGGAGTATGATGCAGATTTGTTCACTGAACTCCTTGACTTTTCGAAAATTGGAAATGTGCAAATTTTTATGGCGTCTTGCTACAACAATAATTTTTATGATAGAGATTTTTTACTTAATGAAATATGTTCTTTAACGACGGATCTTCAAATATGATCACGATAAATTTTTCGTTGATATGAGTAGTTTTCAGCAAAAATTTTTGCGAAATATTCTCAATTTCTAAATTTTTAACAATTTTATCCTAAAAACAGCTCTAATTTTTTCTTCTTGTAACACTTCGTATCAAACGGTAAAACATTATGGCTACACTATTTTCGGCAAACACTCCGTGTTTTCCAAAATTGCAGAAAATGCCTGTTAGAAATGTTAGGTTACGACGACTACATTTTTAAGCTTCGGACCGAGTTCGAAACTAACGTCGTTTCTACAGCGTAGAGGCAAAACTCACAGGGAGTTAACTCGAAGGACCTGAGTTCCAGTTTCGGTATGGGAAAGGACTGCTGCAGGTTGAAACCACTTTTGCTGGTTTATGTAGTAGTATAATATACTGGAGCAGTAAGAAATACTGGAGTTGGAGTTGGAGTTGGAGTTGGAGTTGGAGTTGGAGTTGGAGTTGGAGTTGGAGTTGGAGTTGGATTTGGATTTGGATTTGGATTTGGATTTGGATTTGGATTTGGATTTGGATTTGCGATCCTTCGGTCCGAGTTCGCAACGGCACTACTGCCTCAGCGATCTCGGCCACCGGATCGGCTAAGTTATTTTTGTTACGCAAATTGCCAGCAATTTGATGTACTAACAGTTTACATACTACCGATGTTATGCTAATTGGTCTATTGTTGGACATTGATCACCGATCTCCACCTTTGTAAATAGGAACATTGTAGATTTCTTTCCCATGTCATTAGGGATTTTACAAATGTTAATAGCAACTTCGAGAATTCTCAAAAGGTACAGAATCATGGCTTCCCCACCTAATCATAGAATTGGCCCGCTAATTTCACCAGGTTCCACGAATTTATTTTTAGCCAATACCCTGATTCACTTCCGTAATAACATAACATTCTTTGTAAACAGGTTATCCGTCTCTTGCTTACGTGAGCAAATGTTAACTATACTGTCATTCTTCGGAGGCGTAAATGCAGACGCGTATTACAAAATAAGTGCGCTTACTTTTTCCATAGCATTCCAAATGGATCTCCTGTCTCCTATTTTGAATGAGTTGACTTATTTTTGTTTCTCCGGCGTCGTTTCATGTACTTGTAAAATTTCCCGAGCTCTTATCCTTTAGATTAAAGCCGAATTTGGAATTTCTCTTGTGCAATCTTCTTTGTCTCTAATAGCTCTTTTCACAAAACGTGGATATTTTCGTAAACGTTTGTTCCTGTCTTTCTCATATTGCGTGCTTTTCTCATTTTTCTTTGAAGCTGTATAATATGTTCGTTAAAATATGCAAAATCTGGACTATTTTTAAATATTTTGAGTGGAATAAAACGCTCACTACAGTCCAGCACAATGGACTTGAACGATTCCACATTTCCTCAGCTCTAGAACCAGTCCCTGCTCAAAGAGCGTATTTATCACGCACAATGACACGTAACCTTAATACACTAGTTTTACGAAAAATCGGTTAACCTTTCCGCGACAAATTATTGAATTTACCGCCCTATTCCATTT